GATAGTGGATGGGGGGGTAAGGGGTCATTGAACTCATGGGCCGGTCGTAACGGTTCCCTCGGATCCACCTTTGTCCATTCATGAAAATGCAGTGAGTAATCCCTTTCCAAATCCGAGTGTGTCAGCTGATGATCTTGTCGGTGAAGCCCGTTGCTGGTCCTGCTCGTCTCCTGCCCAGCTCACCTTTGCTATCCAGCCTTCCCATTTCCGAGTCCCTCCCAGCCAGTCTTCCCAGAAGCGGGAGATGAGTTTGTCAATATCCATCCTGGTGTTTGTGTGCTTCAATTTTTCCTTCACAGCCTGCCATTGAGCCGTGAGCTCATACTGAATTAGAAGCCGTAGTTGTTCTGTAACTTCCCCATCTTCCACCCAGGCCCCCTCCAGTTCCAGAATACATCTTCTCCACCGTATTACCCACAGGACGGATCTCCTACCCAGGCAATACATATTTTCTTTGAAGGGGTTTCCTCGGAACTGGGGGCAGTGTCCTAACAGTGTGGCCCTCCAGTCCCATGGCCATGCTGCACCTGGTACAATGTGCCGCCACACTCTGTCCCACCATCGCCATAGCAAAACGACTGCGTGGCACTGTAGGAAGATGTGTTCCACCGTTTCAGGGCGCTTTTTACTAGGGAAAGTCCGGAGGCACCTTTGACACCAAGGAAGTGTTTTTCCTTGCTGTTCCAACTGCGTATGATCAATTAAACCACCAGTACTTGGGCACTGCACGCCGCTGCACTGCGCGTCGGAGGTCGAAGCGACACGGGCTGTGGATTCAATTTATCCACGGCCCGCCGGCCGCGAAATTTTCGTAGCGTTAACGCTAAGGCCGGCCCCAAGTACTGGTGGTTTAACCAGTTGTTAGTTGGTAGACACCAATGGGCAATTTGCCATTGCAGGAAAGAGATTTTGGCTGGCCTCTTTCCATATTCTCTGAACCACCGGACAAGCTTGAGCAGACCGCTATCTACATTGAGATGGCGTTGCCATCTATCCTCGACCACATCTCTCAGTCTGCGCCTTGGTCTAAGCATTTGGTATATTGTCCTAGTTTTTAGAGTGACTAATGCCACTGGTTTCACCTTCCCCCCTTTTTTCGCAATTTTCTGATCTTTCCACGACCACTGCCACTCGTCAGGGTCAAAGGGGAGATCTTCTATCGGGGTCATCGGTCGAAAAACCCTCCATCCCTTGTCATCCTCTATCACCCTGATTTGATAGACATCCCTCCTCTCTTTCCAGATAAAAGGCTTACGACTCCATTGTAGGTGGTCCATTTTTTGGATGTCGAAGCATTCGATCAGCACCTGGTCTTGGTCCACCATGTGCGGTGGACCGACTTGCATTCCCTGACCCGGTACTCCCACCCAATCCCCTTCTTTTAGGCAGGGGCCCTTTCGAAGGGTTGTGTACCATTGAAGGGGGAAGCTTTCAATAAGCTCATTCATTGCTGACTCTGTTAGGTGGCTATATCGCAGGCAACCTCGCATTCTTTCTTCACTCTTCCATTCCCCGGCTGCCACATCCCAGAGATCTCCCACTCTTCGGACCCCATGTTTCACCCAACCCTTCCATGGCGGATTTGAGCTGCATCTCACCCGACCGAGGGAATCTGTAATTAGCCTATTACCAAATAGGGGTTGCCTAAAGACTTTCTTCCACCTTTGCGGGGACGGGTGATCGGGGATTGAGAGTTTCCTCCATGTCCTAAAGAGACATATCCAATGTTCGTCCACAAGGTCTCCATTCCTGTATTTTCTTGTTAGTCTCCAAAACCTGTCCTCAAGCCACACCAGAGGGTCTATCTCTGGTGGAGCCTCCGGGGCCAGGGCTGCGATCTGTGCTAAGCCCAAAGGGACCCATGGGGAGGTTGGTGCGAAAATGAGATGTTGGAACCAGCGAAGGCTGAGGGCTTAAAACTGCATGGAGGGGTTCACGATTCCGAGGCCACCTCCAGCCGTAGGCTGGATCACTGATTCCCATGCAACCCGACTAATGGTGCGGGCATTGTCGTTGTCTCCTCTCCAAAGGAAGACCGCCAACTGTCGTTTTAACGCCTTGAACCCCCCACTGCTCATGGGCCATATGATGGCTTTATACCAGACAGTGGCGAGTACCATATTGTTGATGACAAGGGTCCGCCCAAAAATTGATGTATGTTTATTGTTCCCGTTCGCTAACTTGGTTTGCGCTGAGCTCCCAGTCACTCATCGTTAGTATTGGGTTTTCCCTTAGCTGTAACCAGCGTCCCTAGGATTCTAAGGGGATCGTCTGGAGGGAGCCAGGTGATACGCGGGTTCTCAGGAGGTCTACCCCCTTGGTGATGTAGCCACCAGCCCATGGTCTTTTGCCCCCAGTTAACAGTCATGTCAGAGACCATACAAAAACGGTTCATAAGTGTCCGGATCTCGTCCATGTTTTGTGCCTCTGTCTCCACCATAATGGAGAGGTCGTTTGCAAACAGGGAGCAGATTGGCACTGCTTCCGCCGGGATGCCAACAATCGTGATACGAGTGAGATTCTTATTGTGCCTCAGGTTGGCGGAGAGTGCCTCCATTATGATCAAAAAAAGGTAGGGGGCAATGTGGTCTCCTTGTCTGATCGATCGTTGGAGCTCAAAGAGAGGTACTACTAATCCGTTAACCTGTATACAAGTAGTAGCGTTTTTGTGTAGGATTCTCACCCATCGCCTGAAGGCCGGTCCAAAATTAATTTTATCAACAGAAAAATTCCCACGAGAAATGAAAGTTAAAAAAGCATTCCATAAAAAAAAATTATTCATCTCTATACTCTTAAAGACTACAAAGGGCCCAGCGTGACGCCCCGTGCTGGGCCCAACAAAAATCTGTTTGGCGCTCCGAGGCAGTGGGACGAGGGGGAACCAGTGGCGGCGCAGGGGCGAGTCCCAGGCGGAGGCGGGTACCGACGGCCAAAGCGGTGGCACGAGGGATGCGGGCAGGCGAACGGGCGCAGGGGCGAGTCCCAGACCGAGGCGGGTACCGACGGCCGAGTGGAGGCCAACGGAAAGTTGCGGAGAGGCGGAAACCGGAAAGCGTCGGTGTGCAGGCCGACGCGCGAACGAACGGCGGTGTAGGGGCGTGGGGCGAGCGCGTGGGGCGTGGGGGACCAAACCACGTTATCGAAGCGTGGCTTTGCGGGGATCAACGGTGGCCGTGTGTGTGTGTGTGTG